CAGTTGGTCAAGGCCCTAAGACAAGCTAATCTACATGTTGCCCCCGACAAGATTCAGAAAAAAAAAATGGTGACCTACTTAGGCGCAAAAATCTCCCCTATGCTAGTCTCTCCACAAAAGGTCACCATTAGGATGGATGGCGTTAGGACCCTAAATGACATGCAAAAGCTATTGGGAGACATTAATTAGATTAGGCCATATTTACATATACCAAATTCAGATCTCAAACCCCTGTTCAACCTTCTAAAGAGAGACCCAGATATAGCCTCCCACAGGAGGCTCACTCCTGAGGCAAGAGCTGCCTTACAGAGAGTAAAAAAAGCCTTAGGTGGGGCTACCTTACACAGAATTAAACCAGGGCGACCCTTTGATGTCTGTTTGCTACAGACTAGTCTACAGCCTACAGCGGTGATTTGGCAAAAAAGACCACTACTGTGGATACACCCTAAGGTCTCACCTGCAAAAGTCATAGAGCATTACCCAGAGGCAGTCGCTTCATTGGCCCTTAAAGCGCATGATAGAGCTGTCCAACATTTTGGCTCAGGACCACAAGCCATCCGAGTACCCTATACCGCCAGCCAGATCAAGACCCTGGCTGCCTGCATAGATACCTAGGCCATTCTGAGATGTGTTTTCCATGGGGATATAAACAATCAATACCCTAAAGACCCTATCTTGTCATTTGTCACTCAGCACCCTATAATTTTTCCAAAGGTTACTGCCTCTGAGCCATTAGTCCCAGCAACTACAATATACACAGATGGCTCCAAGACGGAGATAGGCGCCTATGTGATCCTAGGCAAGCCCCCGGTTACCATACAATTTAAACCAGATCAGCCTCAGGTGGTAAAACTGCAGATCGTTAAAATGATTCTTAAACGGTTCTCAGAAGCCATTAACATTGTCTCCGATTCTAGGTATGTGGTCAATGCTATGCAAGTGCTTGAGACTGCCAGTTTAATTAGATCCACTTCCACAGTGGCTAGACTGTTCCTGTCTATCCAGACATTGCTTCAAAACAGACACCATAAGGTCTTCACCACCCACATAAGAACACATACATCCCTGCCGGGGCCCATGGCACAGGGAAATGCGGCTGCTGATACTGCCACTCGCCCGTTATGGATTTTTACCTTACTAACACCAATCGAGCGAGCCCGTGCCTTCCATGATAAATTTCATGTTAATGCCAGGACACTAACAAACCATTTCCATGTTTCTAGAACAGATACACGAGATATCGTGCGACTATGTGACTCCTGTGCCACATACAAACCTGCCATACCGATGGGAGTAAACCCTCGAGGTTTGATCCCTGGTGATGTTTGGCAGATGGACATCACACATATACAGGAGTTTGAGACTCTTAAATATGTTCATGTTTCCACAGACACCTGTTCTCACGTCATATTCACAACAGCAAAAACAGGTAAAAAAGTGTCTAATGTGATCAATCATTGCCTGGCAGCTTGGGCCACATGGGGCAAACCAAAAATATTAAAAACTGATAATGGACCAGCCTATATAGGCAAAGCCTTCAATGAGTTCTACAAAATGATGGAGGTTCAATTAAAACATGGTATCCCATACAATCCCCAAGGTCAAAAAATCATTGAGAGGGCTCATAGAAGCCTCAAAGAAATTTTACAAAAACAAAAAGGGGGAGTAAGCCAAGGCCTGGCCCCAAAGGCACGATTATCCATGGCACTATTCACACACAATTTTTTAAATTTAAATAATGATAATCGCTCCCCAGCTGTAGAGCACTGCAACCCTTCCCCCAACCATAAAGGGTGGGTGAAGTGGAAAGATGTCCTGACAGGACAATGGATGGGCCCGGATCCAGTGGTCAGCTGGAACCGAGGCGCGGTTTGTGTTTTCCCACAGGAACCGGGACGAGAACCACTGTGGATACCGGAGAGACTGACACGGGCAACAAAGCCCTCGACTGAAGATCAGACCTGCCCTACTGGAGATCCATCACAGACCAACCAATAAGATGAATAAAAATAGCGGTAGCCCGAAATAGACAAGAAGATCCTCAGGCATATGCATGGCTTGCTCAATTGGCCCACGACCGAGTCTAGATATGGCGGGCATCCCTCATTCTCCTCCATAAGGTGACAATACACAGCAGGGTAGGTGAGTCAATGACGGGTAAGAGTGTGCCTCCCCAGCACGACTCGACCTAAGCCAGGCCCTACCCCATCCTGCACGTAAGCCGCTGGACTGTTAGATGCTGCCCAGGTCTAAATTTCTCTCCGAGGGGATTTCTTTACGGAGAGGAAATGAGTACAAGCTTGTGTGCATCCAGGTTCCGTCCAGTTTGTGCCTGGCCCTAGAAAAAGGACGAGGGCCTCAGGGCCTTGACAGACCATGGCATGGCCAACCAGGGTCTAAGCCAAGGACCTACGGTGGACCTACACATAGGGCATAAGCCTCTGCACCCAGTCCAGAAAGGGCTACGATGCGCACATTCATAAAAAAATAAAATAGGGGGAGATGTTGGGAGCCGCGTATGTGATAGCTCGCCTTGCGCGGCGGACGTGCGGCCTGTGGTAAAGAGCAAAGCCTGAGGTAGATTACCCCTCCCATCGAATATGTTAGTTTCCTGCTTACCGCGTAAACAACCCGCTCAACAATATAGTCTGCCTGGCAACTGATGATGTTAGCCAATCAGCTTGCCTTGCTTACTTTAACATGATTGGACACTGTACCCGTATATATACCGGTGCCACCCCTGGGCGGAAGAAGAAGCCAGGTAAAAGCCCAGAAGTAAAAGCCCAAAAGGAGCCGCGGAGAGCGGACCGGTAGAGGCTTTGGGGCAGACTGAAGCACAAAAGGAGCCGCGGGGAGCGGACCAGAGGAGGCTTCAGCTGGGAGAACCCAGGGCAGGCTATACGGAGAAGGAAAATAAAAAGAAAAGGTTGTCCACTACCAGACTTTGTTGTGTGTCCTTCCTGCCGGCCGGGAGTGGACATCGACACCTTACCACTGAGCTATATCTCAATCCAAGGCTCAAAGAATCTTTTTCCCTACATTTTAAAAACTGCAACACTGAACAAAAACACTGACACTCTGTAAGCACATACAGGTTAGCTTGCTGCAAGTCTTCCTGGTAGCTGAGGACCATTACTGACCTATGCGTAGGCATGTAAGTGTGATCAGCAGATGTCACCCCTTTTACAGTATCCCTATTTGTACTTTGAACTGCACTCTACTTCCACTGTTTGTGGCCTTCCTCTCCAACAACCCATAAACTCCTCTCCAACAACTCCATAAACCCAGGTAATGATAAAAATCACATCCATAAATTCAGTATAAAATATTCAAAATATCCCTGAGTTACATTTCAGAAAAATGTCAGGGCCATCCAAAAACAAAACAAAACAGAAACAGTCCCAGTAACCATCAAAGCTAAGGGAAGCCTAAGAAGTCATGGTGAGTATTGACTGAACGATGTGTTTCCTGGATGGGTTCATGGATCCAAAAGTGCATTAAGGTAAACTAAGGAAAGATGAACATGAATAGTGGATGGAACCTCCCTGTGCTCTCTTCTGAGTTTTTCTGAACATGAAATTGTAAAGTATTTTTAAAATGTTAAAGTATGCTGACATTTCTGTGTGCTTGTACTTGTAAATGAGTATTCACTTCTCACCCCTAAACACAAAACCTGATCCTTTCCAGTGACTTCACAATGGCTCAGTACAAATACCATTTGGACCACTGATTGTAATACCTTTTTGTTTTTGTGACAAGTTATCTGACCTGAAGGGGAAGTCTGTGATTGTTTGGTCTTTAATGCAAAGAGCTGATTCGCCAGTGTCAGTCAGAGCAACCCGTGGTAGACACAGTTGGGAGTAACACCAGAAACACAGAACTCATTCTCCTATCAGGTGATGCTGTGTGATTTGAAAATGTCTTTTAGTCTTAAGGCTTTAATACATTAATTAAAGTCTTAAGGCTTTAATTCTGAGAGAAGTGCATAATGAGTCATTAATCAATAATGAAGAAAGAGTCATAGTAGCTTTTCCCAAAGTGGGAAAGAAAACAGGATCATAAACTGCCTGTAAGAGAGGCAATGTCTGTTACCGTCATTTGTGCAGCACAGGTCTGCAGTGTGCTCTGCAGACCAGACAAGGCACTGTGCTGTGAAGAGCATGGAACATGGCATTCACTTTGCTTCAGAGAAGAAGACGTGGTAACAGGTACTGCGAGAAAGGATTGCATTGACAATGCTCCATTGTAGTCACGTGTAGCTCTAAAAAGAATGGAAGAGGCATATTGAATTATCCAGTTATTGACAATGTCAGTAATGTCTGCCTCAGCCTCCTGAGTGCTAGTGGGTATTTGCCACTGCACTTGGCTCTTCCATGTTTTTATGTCTTTTTTTTTACTTTTTTGTTAGTTAATTCGTTTTTTTTCTTTTTGAGACAGGGTCTCATTATACATTTTATGCTGCATTGTCACAGGAATCTTTCTGCTGCATTTTTCCACGTGTTGGGATCACATTTGTGCCCAGTCTCCCCCACTCACTGCACCAGGGACTGAACTCTAGGGCTCCTGATTCACAGGCACCATGTTGCTAAGCTGAAATCATGGGTGCAATGTATTTAATTTTTTATGAGACAGTGCCTCACTGTGTAGTTAATACTGGCCTTGAACTCTTAGGGATCCTCCTGCCTCAGTCTCCAAAGTGCTAGAAATTATAGACCTGCATCCTACAGTTGAGTTCTAACTTTTTATACATTTAAACACATTGAATGAAGTGAAGTTTGCTTGGAGTATTTACAAGATATATCCAAATTTCTATATAATTTATTTGTTATTTAAAGTCTAGTTGATGACCTGAACTACAATTGAAACTTTAGATTTAGCTCAGGATAAGCAAAAAATTGCTCAATACATAAAACCTTGTGATCAGGGCATGGAGATTTCTTTGTGAATATTTACCAGAAAAAAATTTTAATAAGTTAAGGATGGTTAGCTATGAACTATAAATATTTATCTTCTGTCACTTGCCACTTGTGTTAGTTGGAACACTAACACAAGGCACAAAGAATTTATCATTATGTCAAATTATGCGCTGTGGTTTGAAGGGATATATTTCCCTGCAGCAGTCTACGAGCCTGAAATTTTAAGAGAGGTACGGGACAAGTTTGTGGTGAAGGATGGAGATACAATAACAGTGACTTTTCCCAAATCAGGTAAGTAAATGGGATCATGAAAGAGTCATGAGGAAAACTATGGCTGTGGGCTTCAGTCATTCTGCAGATGAATGGAAAACTCCCACTATTCCAGAAGCAATGCCATACTTGAGAAACAAGGAATAGGTTTTAATTGCATTTGCATTCAGAGGTAAAGATGCAGCTCAACTGTTGCACAGGTAGATGACAGCAAAGAAGGACCATCTAAGGTACCACAGAAATGCAACGTGGAAATACTAATGCAGATTCTGGAATCTGAATAATTGTATTGGGGTCACTGTGGTAAAGGATGATATCGGGAGTTTCATAAAGATAAGAAATTAAGGACAATGAGAATGGGTTTTAGCAAAAGCTAAGGAAGACACTTAAATACCTAATTTCAGAAAACTGAATATAGACATTCAAATATCCACTGTCAGACGGATGCATAAATTGAATGCCAATCAGAATACATGTGGTGAGAAATGAAATTGTAATACATGACACAACATAGATGAATCAAGCTCATTGAGCTAAATGAAATAAATATATCATAAAAAGATATACATTTTCACGTATGTGAAATACTTGCACTATTCAAATTCATAGTAAGAAAAGGAGAATGCTGTTTGTCGTAGAGTGCAAGGCGCTAGAGTCACTAGGGTTTAGTACTTTATGAGTAGGGATATTTATTTTTCTTAGGCAGAATATTTGGGACATTGAGCAGTAAATGGAATATGCTAAGCATTACTCACCAGAACTGTAATTTATGCTTAAAAATTGTTGCAAGTTCACTTCTATGTTGTGCAGATCTCAGCCCAACTTGACACAACTTGTGTTGACATCATTGACAATAATTATTCCTTCTTTATTCAGGAACCAACTGGTTAATTGAGATCGTCTGCCTGATTCTTTCCAAGGGGGATTCCAAGTGGATCCAATCAGTGCCCAACTGGGACCGTTCACCCTGGATAGAGAGTAAAATGGGATATGAATTATGGAAGGGTGATAAACACCCACACATCTACACATCCCACTTACCCTTCCATCTCTTTCCCAAGTCCCTCTTCAGTTCCAAGGCCAAGGTCAGTGCTTACTGATTTAGAAATTCTTATTCAGTCAATCTAGGTTTGGGCTATTCCGGGGTAAATGGCTTAAATGAAAGAGACAAGTGATTTGATTTTTCAATTCCAGGAGGATCAAATCCCTGTAATGGAATTCTATATTCTCTCGAGATAGAGACAGAGAAGTTCTCTGGGTGGCCTATATTTATTTAAATTTCAAATTATGAGAAGAGGATACTGAGGCAAGATCAGAAACCAAGCAGGATCTTGGGAGTCAGTTCAAAGACTTCTCCAAGCAGTAAACTGTGCCAATTAAGTGGAATTTTTGATCTCTGATGTTCATGGTACTATTGATCAGTAATAGGGGTAAGCACCCTGTGTCCTTGGATACCTCAGTTGTGGTCATTCTGACCTCAGAGCACCATGCTCTTTTCCAGCATGTTCAGAGTTCCCTGTGTTTAGCAGCTTAACACTGCACAGTCGAGTTGTGAAAACAATCCTCTTAAACTGCTCTGTGCCTAAATATCCCCTGGTGATTTAGCTGAAATGGATTGTCATAGGTGGATTTTGATGGGATATAGTAATCTCCCAGATTATTTGATGGTGCAGTGTCTAACCCTTAGGTCATACATGAATAACAGTATGTGGACCATCCTGTATATATAAATCTAGTATCTTAGAAACCCATATTTTAAGGACACACAGGGTTTATGTCTATGGGATAGATTTCTCCCATTCTGTTGCTACATTGTAAGGTAATTGGCCAATATTAATCAATAGCTCTTCTAAAGCAGGACCCAAATAGAAGAATTAAATTTTCTGAAACTTCTCCCTCCCTACAATATTCTGTCTTTTAATAAGGATAAATGATGCAATAAGGATAAATGATGTAATAAGGATAAATGATGGCAAAGTTTCAAAGTATCCTGTTCCCATAACTTTCTGTTTTGCCCAAGCAAGGTCACCAAAGAACATTGCAAAACTCACGGCTTGACAAACTGCCTGTGCTTTGCTTCTGTCCAGTTGCCCTCTTAAGTTTTGTGCCATGAGAGGGACTGAGATGGAGTCACATTATGTTTTCCAACCACTGTTTCTTACTGCACATAACTTTCTGCTGAGATAATCTACCTCGAACTAGCCAAGTAGCTAGTAGGTCATCACCTGAAGGGAACAGGTAGATGCAGGATCTAGCATCCCATGTCTCATTTTTAGAAATATTTTCCTTTGCAAGGCTTTTTAATATAGTCTGAAGTTTTAAAATTTTTAATTAAATTACACTTGAATAACCTATGATCTAACACCCTCTTTAGTAAATGTCGCATTTATGAGGCACAGTCATGTTATTCTAACACATTATTGATATGCGATTTTTAGGAATTGGTGAAGCTGAGGCTGAGAAATTAAAGACTAAAGAGGGATTGAACCAAAATCATGGAATAATGGCACAAAGAGAAATGAACCTATGTTAAATGTCAAGCTATCTCTCTCTCTCTCTCTCTCTCTCTCTCTCTCTCTCTCTCTCTCTCTCTCTCTCTCTCTTTGATGTTTGTGGGCTTGTGGGAATGTAAACACATCCTAATCTTAATAACCAGTGTCATGAATATTTGTGAAACTATGCAATGTACAAAATGTCATCCAGACAATATTAAGAATATTTCTGGAACCCAGAGGCTCTCCTAAACCACCTCCAAGTCAGTGAGTGAACAGAGAGGTAATTACTCTCCTGGCTTAAAACTCTGGGTCATTTTGTTTGCTCTTCAAATTCACATACTTGAACTCCTCTAAGAATTGAGATGTGTGGCTTCTTTACACAATATGAAGTCTTTGAAATTGAATTCTGGCTTTGTCATGTGAACAAACTGTACATTCCTATTGCCTATGCATACAGCAGAATTCTTTATTGATTTTCTTTTTAGGCATATTTTTATAAAGTATGGTTTTCTCACATTTTCTGGTTAAAACCTCCCTGTATATTCCTTGAATGAGTAGACAGACATCTCTGAAAAAACACGTATGCAATCTTCCTCATTTATTATACTTCCATCAGAGTTGCCAGCTCATAAAATTTTAAAGTCTATATATTATTACTGAGTGCTGTCACAAATTCATTAATATAATACATGATATTTAGTAGGTATTTGGTATAAATTTCCTGGACAAAGATAAAATCATGTAAGAAATAACTCTCCTGATTTTTTACTTTCACCTTTTTAAATTTAAGGTGATTTATTGTATTAGGAATCCCAGAGATGTTATTGTGTCTGGTTACTTTTTTTTGAGAAAAATGAAGATTACTGAGAAACCGGAGACTCTGCAACAATATATGAATTGGTTCCTCCAAGGAAAGGGTGAGTTGCTATACAATGTAGGAGCTGCAGAACTCAAGGTCTTTCTCTCACTTTACTGCATCCTTCTCGCTTTCCAGTTCAGCAGTCTGCAAGTCCAAGGCTCCATTCTCACTGCATCACAGATGTTTTATATGCCCTCACTCTCATGCACATACAACACTCAAAACAAAAACAAAACAAAAGAAAATAAAGTTATATAAAGACAGAGCCAGAAGTAGTAGAATATGCTTGCAATTTTGTACTCAGGAAGTTGAAGCAGGAGGATTGCTTTGAGTTCAAGGCCACTGGGACTACATAAGGAGTTCAAGATCAGCCTGAATTTTATAGAGAACTACATAGGGAGTTCAAGGTCAGCCTGAACTATACAGAGAGAGACTGTCTCAAAAAAGGTGAGAATAATTATTAAAAACACTATATGCATAGTTCCACATCCCTGCCGGAGTATGTTTCTTGAGATTCATAAGGCTATATTCCTAGGATTGAGACACAGGTTTATGTCCATCAGTACTGTTACCAGAGACCAAGAAAACCACACAAGGAGGAGTTTTGGACCTTGATTCAGGACTTCGATAGAATTATAGGTGTCTGACTTCTACAACAAAAAGACAATTTTCAAAAGATGTAGGTAAAAATCAAAAAAGAATTTATTAGGCAGAATTTTTACACTACACACTCTAGAAGAATAGAGGGTGGGTGATCAAGAGAGAGGACAATATACTATGGGGATGCAATTCATATATGGTCTTGGAGAATCCCGTAGATGGGTGATCTCAGATGTTTACTCCTACTGTCATCAGGCCATTTTGTGAATACATTAGGAAGAAAACCATTTGCTGTATATGAAGTTTAGAGATATATCACTCTCTGAATTGTATCACTTCATCGAGGATGGAGGTGTGTGTTGCAGAACAATTTATTGGTGAAAAGCATGTCACCCATTTTCAGGATTAATGTGTTATACTTTTAAGGAGTTTGCAGAATGGAACAGATATTGGAACTTTCAGTTATTTCTGTGTCCTTAGCCTGTGGGTTTTCTTTAATATTTTAAAGCTATGATTATTTTTTATCTATTTATCTGCTTTTTTATCCCACTTTATTTTCTCACTTAGTCTTTGATCTTTTATTTTTAAGGGATATTAAGGATGAGAGTCCCTCTTCTCCTGGCTACTTTTGGTTTTAGCTTTGTTGGGCCTTTCTGACCAGGAATTGGAAGTCTTCTCCTGACTTATGCAAAATCAGTTTATTGTTTAAAGAGATATCATTCTTTGATACTTGCTTCATTCTTGGGAAAGTAGGCCATCGGCAAGTAATTCAAGCTTAGAGAGGGACATTAACATCATTTTTGAATGTAGGTTGTGTAGTGTGTAAGTTATAAGTTAGAGTGGTCAGGAAGAAATACATAACATGTTGCTTTGAAAATAGCACACATGAGGATCAGATTGAGCTAGAGAATTATGGAACCATAAACTTTATAAGAATTTTAAATAACCAGGGCTAAAAAATTGAAATATAATTATGGTGAATTGTTGCCTCCACAATATAGAAGCTAGATGCTATTGGTCAGCATTAAAATAATTCTTTTATAATTAATATTAATCTTTAGTTATCCTCTGGCATTTAGTTAACAAATAGGTACATTTTAAGAATATACAGAAATTTCTTTAGTTCTGTAAATAATAAATGTAGTATCTTTTCATTTTGAAATATAATAGTTTCCAGGAAAGACTGACTAAATGTATTCAATGATTTGTTGTCCACTAGGTACCAGATTTCTCAAACTAGCTTCATGACTTGGACTCTGACTTGTACCTTTTATGCCTGAACACCTTTGTTGTAACTGACATTAGGTAATATATATAAAACATGAAGTAGACAAAACAGAGTTAGTTAATGTCACAAAAATAATAATGTTCATTAGCTAGACTACTTGCATTTCTTTATCTTTTGGTGAGTCTATGCAGGAAACCAAATATTTGTCAGAGGCTTATTTCAATGTACATCAAAATATCCTAAGAGTACTCTTTCAACACAGGGTTAAGGACACATTTTTGGAAGAGCTACTAGAATTGGTAATCTGGACCTCTAGGAGCTGTAAGTTAAGATGTTAAATATGTTATTGGCGACTGGTAGTAGTAGCTGGTGTCATGTTTGGAGCCCCTTTTGTGATGTAGCCTACCTCTTTGTTTGTTGTTGTTTGTGTTGTTTTTCTTATTGTTTTGGAAGTATTTTGAGACATTGTCTTTCCATGCAGTTTGGGATAGTTTTAGGCTCAATTTGTCTTCTAGGCTGGTCTGTAACTTTGAAAGATCATCCTGCTTCAGCTTACAGAGTGCTGCAACTGCACAAGTGTATCACCATTCCTGGCTTAGCTCTTTGTTTTTGTATATCAGTGAGATACTATGTTTTGTGTTATATATTTAACTGGGTATTTAAGACCATGTCAAAATAATACTCATGCTAGTCAAATTGATCTTTGTTTATAAAGGTCAGCAAAGTGTTTCAAGTCAGTTATTTCTGAGGACTTTTAGGGGCTGCTTCCTTCTTCTAGTTCTTGCCTTTATCTATTGTTATCTGTGCCAGGAGTCATCAATGTATAGTTTCACTATATAACTTCCACTGAAAACATTAAGACATTTTCTGCTTTAGTGGCATGCCTTTTTGCTGAGTATGTATTGCCTGTCTCCTGTCTCCTTGATTCTAACAATTTTCCTGCTTGAGCCATCATATGATTCGCCATAGCCGAAGAATCTCTTACAGGAATGCCAGCATTTCCTATGTACTGGCTGACTTTGGAGGCAAAGGCTGACATACCGACTGTCCTCTTAGCCTTCCTTCTTTCTTATACTTGTTTCCCACACCTTGAATACTGAATATCCAAAAAGTTAATGATAGCAGTCTTAAAGTGGCAGCACCAGGCGTTTATTCTAATCATTACCATTTTTTTCTGCACATTGACACATTTTGAAATGTAAAACAAGACTGAAGAAAGATGTATATGTTACTTTGTATACAATATATTATTATTAGTAGTAGTAGTATTAATTTGTTTTTTGAGACAAGGTCTTACTAAATAGATCAGATTGACTTTAAACTTATGTAGTTCAGCCTGATATCAAACAAGTGGCAGTCCTCTAACTCAACCTTGAGAGTAATGGGATTATTAGCATGGACCACCAGAGGTGGTTATTTTATAAGACAGTATTAACATTGGGTGTTGGTATTGCATCTTTTTCATCTTATAGATGATGGCTATTATTTTAAAGCATTGAGTGAATAATTTGTTGACAGCCATATTTCTGTAGAATGCTAGTATGCAATAGTTACAAAGCTTCTTTTTTTGTCTTTTTGAGGCAGGATTTTGCTTTGAATTTCATGGGGACTTTGAACTCACTTTTGTAGCCTTTTTTGACCTTGAACTCACTGATTTTTGTGCCTCAGTCGCCTGAGTGCTGGAAAGTTGCAAAATTTTATGAGAAAAATATAAAATAAAATGAATAAAAGTATTAATAAATCCAGTTATTATACTTTTTTCTGCATCAAGAAGCAGAGTTAGTTAATCTGGTTTGGTCACAAGAGAGTATTCAGAAGTATCACTTAGAGTTTTTACTAAATGTGGTTGTTAATTTTTAATTTTGTCAGTGTATATTTGGAGTACATAATGATTACATTCATCGTGAGGAGTTGCTACATAGACACAGTGCACTCAACTCCTTTGATTTCATCCTCTTCCCTCACTCCCCTCACTTCATCTCTTGGTCCTCTTTGCCCTTGCAAAGATCTGTCTCTATTTTTTTGTTATTATCTATCATTTATTTTGTTCATTAGAGTAATCATTCTTTGAGTTTCTCATATGAGATAAATCATGCAATATTTAAACCTATTTGTTAATAAATACTCCGGCAGAGTACTTATGCCTATGCTATATAAAGAACTAAAAAGCATTATAACTCCTCAAAAAGATCATATCAAAAATGAATGATGGAAATGAATTGACCCTTCAAAAAACAGTACAAATTGGCAAAAGTATATAAAATATATTGAACATGCAAGTTAAGACAAAAATGATGTTTCCTATTACACCTAGAAGAATGATAACATCAAGAAATCGAATAATAAGAAATGCTGGTGAGGAAGCTGGAAAAATGAAATCCCTCTTCATTGCTGGTAGAATGTAAATGAGTATAGTCAGTACAGAGATTTCTCCAGAAAACTGAACATAATTTAATACACACAGAGAGACAGGAGTCTAGTTTCAATCTTCTGTAACAGCTACCCAATTTTCCCAGCACCACGTTTTTCTTTTCTTTTTAAAGTTTTTTGCTACTTTTGGTTTGTTTTTACAAATCCATTTGATTTCAAGGATAAAAAGAAAGAAAAAGTGAAGAAATAAAGTTTCTACAATGTTTCAAATCTTGTCAGTAAGAGAGAAACATTGGTAAATACATTGTACACTGTCATCCCTCAATAATTAACCCAGAGCACAAAAAATCTGCATTAAATTGTCAGAAACATACCAAAACAAAGTTTTCTATTCCAGGAATGCAGAACAATCAGTAGAATAGCTATCTTAAATGTTTTTATAGATTTATACATATATGTACACATACACATACACTTTTCCTTTCTGCTTCTCACATTAATGAAGCAATATATCTATACGTCTTATTTCACTAAAGAGTCTGTTCTCAAATTGCATCTATATACTTATTAAAGCCTCCATTTTTTCTTTTTTATGGCTGAGTATTACTCCATTTTACTACAACTTTAAAAAAATTTTAAAAAGAGATTAAGACAAAAGAGGACATAGCAAAGCAGATCAGATCAGAACAATGCAAGTAACACAGCATTTTACCATGAGACAACCCATAATTAACGGTAACTACCATAATGTCTCTTTCTTTGAAATAGTTGAGCATAGGGGCTGGGGATTTAGCTCAGCAGCATAAGCACCTGCCTTGCAAGCAGGCAGTCGTGAGTTTGACCCCTGGTACCGGTAAAAA